ACAAAAAAAAAATTAACGGGCCTCAAGCCCGGCCCGAGACCCGACTGGCCCGGCCCGACCGACCCGTAGCCCATTTGGCCCAAGGCCCGAAAGCCCGAAGTTTAATGAGCCTACATTTTTTAAACTCATGTCCTTATAATTTTCGGGCGGGCTCGGGCCGGGTTTCGGACTTCGGACTTAATTGACATCCCTACATATGTTTAATCTGAAGAAACCGTTGTTTATGATAACGAAATAATAATTAATATATGGTAATATTCAATAACGGACCAAAAATATATCTATATGGATGTGTATATTCTTCATCACGCGTTCCTCGTGACATCCATCAGCAAACCCCTCATCTGTTCAACGTCGACTGAACCCTCGTGAATTCTCTGGAAAATGAATATCCGAACAATTTTCTAATTAATTAAAAAAAAAACCCTTTAATCAAATAACTTTTTCCTCCATGAATCTTTTGTCCGAAACCGACATACGAGTTACCTGAACAGAAGACGAAACAAGAATGGCTCCACTGGAGGTGGTAATGCTAATGTCGATGATCTCTAACCCGGCAAAGTTCATCACCTCCATGAACTTGGTGAAGACTCCAACTTTCTTGGAAGCGATGATCTTCAACCAGTACTTGCTCTCGCCGATCTTGGTCACGTAAACATCTTCCTGCAGAATTCTCATGCAGAAATCAACAAGAAAAATTGGTCAAGAGACGGGAAAATTAACGAATCGAGATCGAGAAATACGAGGGGAAAAAAACCTCGATCCCGTGGTTTTCCATCTCTTCTCGAGAATCTTTGGTCACTTTAGGATTCAGATCCGTCTCTTCTTCAACTTCCGAGACTTCCATCTCATGCAGCTTCTCAGAGAGGCCCTCCACTTTAATCTGAAGCTCTCGAATGTAAGTTATGGCATCGTCGACTATACTCGCTTTGTTCATCTGAATCCATACAAACATCAACCGCAGACATATATGTGTATGTATATATACAATGAAACCCGAGTGTGGAATTATACGTTGGTGATGATGGGGACGTGAGAACGAAGAGCGAGAAGCCGGTAGTGCAGCTTATGCCTTCGACGTCTCTCGGTGTGAAGGTTCTTGGATTTGTATTCATCGCCGTCGTTGATCTTGTTGCTTCTCCTCCTGCCGATCCTCCTTGCAGTAACTGCGGCGGAGTCTGATTCTTGAAATGTGTTTGGTCGGTCCATCGAGTCTTGTTTTTCTCTCCCTCCTCCTAGGTAATCTTCGGACATGAAAGTTTGATCTGGTTAAATAGGAGTTTCTCACATATACATGGGAATTTTCTGTTGGGAGAGAGAGAGAGAGAGAAGAGAGAGAGGGAGAGAGAATCTTTAGTCGTAAGTGTGAGTTTGTTATGCATGGGAACTCAGTTGGAGGTCAAAATAATTGGTCTGTTGTAAAAAGAAGGTGAAAAGACAAATAACAGTAAATTTAATTTTGTTATGGGGGTATTTATTTTAATTAAAGTTTTGTAAATTTTTTAAATAAAATTAAACTTTTTTTAATTTAAAAGTGGGGCATTATAAATGGGTCCGCCGCCCATGAATGTAGGCCCTAGGCCCAAGACACTCAAAACGCTCTTTTGCCGGTGTAAAATCACTGCCGTTTGAAACGCAAACGCATCAGCGTTTTGGTTTTCCTCGAGGATTTCGTTTATAGCGTCTGGGTCTCTTTATGTAAAAGAAAAAAGGATTTTCAATTTCATGTCCCTTTCTTTTCTTGGCCTCTCTGTCAAAGAATCAGGAATATAGAAAAAAGAGTACGTAAAGGAGTGTATATATGTGTATATATATATATATATATATAATATGTTTTATATTTGGTAACGTGCATGAAGAGACACTTTATCCTTATTCCATCCAACCAAGAGAATTCTAAAGGAGTTGCCCTTAAAATGCAAGAACAAGTTTCCGATTTAACATCATTCCTTGTCCTCCTCCTCCTTTGGCTCATTTGCTCCAAGTTCTTTAGAAAATGTCGAAAAATTTCGGTTTGTTTATATGCATCTTGATCTTGGCAATGGATATTTCGGCCGGAATTCTTGGTATCCAAGCCGAGGTGGCTCAAAACAAGGTACATTGCTCACTCATTACCCGGTCGCCAACTCTTCTATATATACATAGATCTAGAGTCGCTCCAAAGGATGGGGATTTACTTGACATATAATGTATATATGATGTTGAACAGGTGAAGCATTTGAAAGTGTGGATACTCGAGTGTAAAGATCCGAGCTACAAAGCGTTCAAGCTAGGGTTAGCGGCCGTTGTGCTCTTGGCTCTCGCTCATGTCACGTCCAATTTGCTCGGTGGGTGCGTCTGCATCCGGTCAAGGAAGGAGCTTGAAGATTCATCTCCAAACACGCAACTCGCTATGGTGTCTCTCGTCTTCTCTTGGTAAATATGTATACTTTATCTGTAACCAAATCTTGAATTCCGTTTGGAAAAACTTTACAATAACTGTAATCATGATCTCTTCTTAAGTTTCTCGTGATCATACAAGTAAATATGCATAATTTTTATGTAATAGAATCTTCAACTCCGTTTTTAGAAACTTAACCCGAGATTATGACAATAATCTATGATGTTTTTCATGAGCAAATATGTATGCTTTTTATGTGGAATGAGAATCTTGAACTCCATTTGTAGAAACTTATATAGAGATTATGACAATGATTTTGGATGTTTTTCAGGATCATACTGGTGATAGGGTTCTCGATGTTGATGGTAGGGACGATGGCAAATTCAAGATCGAGAAAATCTTGCGGGATTTCGCACACTCGGGTTCTCTCCATTGGAGGGATACTTTGCTTCATCCATGCCCTCTTCGCGGTGGCTTATTACATATCTGCAACCGCAACGACAAGGGAACTTAAGCAAGGAGGAGGCCATGCTTGAATTCTTTTGGGTGTCAATTCAGCATATATTTAGATGAAATATTTTTCACAATCATGAAGCTTTTATGATTTATATTTCCATTGAATTCTTCCCATTGTTCATGAATCTATGTATGGATGTGAAAATGAACATCAACAACATGTCGTCTTTTCATGCGTATACGGTGCATCATGCCATGACACATATTCAACAATGATCTAAAAGATACTTAGCTGAATTACCCTCATGACCTCCTGATGCACATGGTAAAATCAAATGCTTTGGTGTTTTAAAATATTTAGTAAAAAACATTGGCCCATTGTCATCCCAAAAAAATAAAAATTACTCTTATTGCCATCCCCCCCCCCCCC